CTTTGTGACTTGCTTTCCCCTGCCCTGAAGCGCCAGAATACCAGGATGAGAGCAGCCCTCACAGTGGAGAAGCGAGTGGCGATAGCCCTGTGGAAGCTTGCAACGCCAGACAGCTACCGGTCAGTCGGGAATCAATTTGGAGTGGGCAAATCTACTGTGGGGGCTGCTGTGATCCAAGTTGCCAGGGCAATGAGAGACCTGGTGATATCAAGGGTAGTGACTCTGGGAAACGTGCAGACCATAGTGGATGGCTTTGCTGCAATGGGATTCCCAAACTGTGGTGGGGCGATAGACGGAACCCATATCCCTATCTTGGCACCGGCGCACCAAGCCACCGACTACATAAACCGCAAGGGGTACTTTTCAATGCTGCTGCAAGCCCTGGTGGATCACAAGGGACGTTTCACCGACATCAACGTGGGCTGGCCGGGAAGAGTACATGATGCTCGCGTCTTCAGGCAGTCTCTTCTGTTTCGAAAGCTGGAGGAAGGGACTTTCTTCCCAGACCAGAAAATAACAGTTGGGGATGTTGAAATGCCTATCGTGATCCTTGGGGACCCAGCCTACCCCTTAATGCCATGGCTCATGAAGCCATACACAGGCAGCCTGGACAGCAGTCAGGACCTGTTCAACTACAGGCTGAGCAAGTGCCGAATGGTGGTGGAATGTGCATTTGGCCGTTTAAAAGCGCGCTGGCGCAGCTTACTGACTCGCTCAGACCTTAACGAAAAGAATCTCCCCATTGTTATTGCTACTTGCTGTGCGCTCCACAATATATGTGAAAGTAAGGGGGAGACATTTATGGCGGGGTGGGAGGTTGAGGCAAATCGCCTGGCCGCTGATTACGCGCAGCCAGACACCAGGGCGGTTAGAGGAGCACAGCAGGGCGCGGTGCGCATCAGAGAAGCGTTGAAAACCAGTTTTGTGACTGGCCAGGCTACGGAGTGAAACTTCTGTTTGTTGCTCCTTGATGAACCCTCTGCCCCTCCCCCACCACCCTGTTAACTCTACTTCCCTGCAAACCAACCACCCCACCCTCCCCTACTACCCTCCCCCCTTCGAGCACCACTTGCAGAGGCAATAAAGTCATTGTTGCTTCACATTCATGCATTCTTTATTAATTCAGCACACAACTAGGGGGATAATTGGAAAGGTAGCCCGGGATGGGTGGGGGAGGAGGGAAGGAAAAGGACACACTCCAATTTAAAACTTTAAAACTTATTGCTATGGAAATCATCTAGGGTGGAGTGAGTGGGTGGCCGAAGGCCCCCCCACCGTGTTCTTGGGCGTCTGGGTGAGGAGGCAATGGGACTTGGGGAGGATGGCTGCTGGTTACAGAGGGGCTGTAGCGGCGGTCTCTGCTCCTGCTGCCTTTCCTGCAGCTCAACCATACGCAGGAGCATATCACTTTGATGCTCCAGCAGCCGGAGCATCGACTCTTGCTTTCTGATTACAAGTTGACGCCACCTCTCCTCTTCAGCCCGCGTTTCAGCACGCAACTTCTCATCTTCAGCCCGCGATTCAGCACGCCACCTCTCCTCTCGCTCATATTGGGCTTTTTTAAAATCAGTCATTGACTGCCTCCACGCATTCAGCTGTGCTCTGTCAGCGTGGGAGGCAGTCTGAAGTTCAGTAAACATTTCGTCACGCGTCCTTCGCTTCCTTCTTCGAATATTCACTAGCCTCTGCGAAGGAGTAAGATTTGCAGCTGGTGGAGAAGGGAGAGGTTGTTAAAAAAGATACATTTTAGAGAACAATGGGTAGACTCTTTCACGTTAGATTTTGCTGTTCACAACATCACACAGCACATGTGCTTTCGTTACAAGGTCGCATTTTTCCTCTTATATTGAGAGTCTCCTGGTTTGGTGTGAGAGATCACTCACGCAGTGCCAGGACACAGATTTCAGCTTGCAGGCAGCCATGGTAAGACATATAGTCTTTGGGCTTTTTTAACCTTCTTAACATGTGGGGATGGTTTCAAACAGTTCTGCCCTCATTTCCCATACCAAGCACCCGTGCCATTTAAAATGGGTTTGCAATGTAAAAGGAGGGGCTGCGATTTCAGGTTTAACATGCAGCACAAACCCAACTAACTCCCCTCCCCCTCACACCCAATTCTCTGGGATGGTCACTTCAACCCTCCCCCCCACCGCGTGGTTAACAGCGGGGAATATTTCTGTTCAGCAGACCAGGAAGGGGCACCTCTGAATGTCCCCTTAATAAAATTGCCCCATTTTAACCAGGTGACCGTGAATGATATCACTCTCCTGAGGAATGGATGTTGTCTGCATGCCAGCAAACACCGGGACCATACGCTGCCATGCTTTGTTATGCAATGATTCCAGACTACGTGCTACTGGCCTGGCGTGGTAAAGTGTCCTACCATGGCGGACGGGATAAGGCAGCCCTCCCCAGAAACCTTTTGCAAAGGCTTTGGGATTACATGAAGGAGAGCTTTCTAGAGATGTCCCTGGAGGATTTCCGCTCCATCCCCATACACGTTAACAGACTTTTCCAGTAGCTGTACTGGCCGCGATTGCCAGGGCAAATTAATCATTAATCATTAAACACGCTTGTTTTTAAACCATGTGTAATATTTACAAAGGTACACTCACCAGAGGTCCCCTGTGTGCCCTCAGGGTCTTGGGTCAGTTCGGGGGTTACTGTTTCCAGGTCCAGGGTGACAAACATATCCTGGCTGTTGGGGTAACTGGTTTCTCCGCTTCCTTGCTGCTGTGAGCTATCTATGTTCTCTCCATCCTCATCTTCCTCGTCCGCCGAACCCGCTTCCCCGTTTGCAGAGAGGGACTCATAGAACACGCTTGGGCTAGTGGTGGCTGCACCCCCTAGAATGGCATGCAGCTCCGCGTAGTAGCGGCATGTTTGCGGCTCTGCCCCGGACCTTCCGTTTGCGTCTCTGACTTTGTGGTAGGCTTGCCTTAGCTCCTTAATTTTCACGCGGCACTGCCGCGCGTCCCTGTTATGGCCTCTGTCCTTCATGGCCTTGGAGATCTTTTCTAATGTTTTGCCGTTTCTTTTACTGTTTCGGAGTTCGGCGAGCACTGCTTCATCTCCCCAGATGGCGATCAGATCCTGTACCTCCCGTTCGGTCCAGGCTGGAGCTCTTCTGCGATCCTGGGACTGGGACTGGGACTCCATCACGGTTACCTGTGCTGATGGGCTCTGCATGGTCACCTGTGCTCTCCACGCTGAGCAAACAGGAAATGAAATTCAAACGTTCGCGGGGCTTTTCCTGTCTACCTGGCCAGTGCATCTGAGATGAGAGTGCTGTCCAGAGCGGTCACAATGAAGCACTGTGGGATAGCTCCCGGAGGCCAGTAATGTCGAATTCCGTCCACACTAGCCCAATTCCGACCCCCTAAGGTCGATTTTATCGCTAATCCCCTTGTCGAGGTGGTGTTAGGAAACCGGTTTAAAGGGCCCTTTAAGTCGACAGAAAGGGCTTCGTAGTGTAAACGTGTCCAGGCTTAAGTCGATTTAACGCTGCTAAAGTCGACCTAAACTCGTAGTGTAGACCAGGCCTTAGTCTCTAAGGTGCCACAAGTACTCCTGTTCTTATTAAAGCATGTCTGTGCTATACTCTTTTTTTGGGGGGGAACCCATTTACAGCAAATCAAATGGGATTAAGTCTTTAGTTTTCCTCTTCATACTGGAAGCATTAGATTGGTGGAGTGTCTTTTGCACATCATCTGCTTGTTAGAGTTTGAACAAACGGGCAGTTCTCTTATCAAGCTACAAGATTATGTTTAACTTATCCAGTAACATATTAAAAACGAAGGAGGTAGACAAATAAGTTAGTTTTATGACATAACTTTGCCCACATTAAACTGATGGGAGTATACAGCAGACCTGGAGGACAACAGCAGTAATTATGCCATTGTTCAACAGTCACAACCTAAGCATTAACAGGATGAAAGGGCCAAAAGTAACACTCCTGTGAAAAAGCAAGACAAGATCCCACCCCACCCAAACAACAGATCACTCATGATCATGGAGATTGAGGATTCTGTCTCAACTCTAAGACTGCACAAGAGGGCTTCCCCCTCCCCCTCCTCTCCCATCGGAGATTGATTTAGGGCTCATCAGAAATCCATGAAGCATGGCACAGAGACGTAGTTTTCTCTACATGTATGGTATTCGGATCACTCTTTAGGCATGTACACTGCAGTCATTAGGACAGGAGCCTTGTCTGTGTTACTAATCAAACCCTCCTAATAAACAAACAGACCCCAAATTTTAGTTTACTTTTCACCATTTATGCTGTCAGAACTGCAAAAAGGAAACATTCAGGTTGGACAGTTAAACCAGTCTAGTCAGTTTAGCTTTCTGCCTCTATAAGAGTTTTTTACCATGGTCTCCAAGCACCTTTTCATGTACCATGACAAGCACAATATACTAGTTCAGGCTGTAAATAATATAGGGGAATATTTATATCTAAAGAAAAAAATTCTCTACTTGTGTTCATTGTTTTCCCGAAAAATGTTTCCAAAAGGAGTTTATATTAGTAGTAGGATTTGTAGAAAGCAAGTAAATACAACGTTAAATGTTGGTCCTTAGCTACCTGACAGTCTCCCTTAAAGGAGGGGAGAATTAGTCACTCAGCAAGATTACTGTTATCACACATTTCATGCAGGTTCCAAATTCTGAAACAAACAAATGCAGCTGTTGCTCACATACCAAGAGATGCATTTAAAGATTTTAAAACTTAGTCTTATTTTTAGTTAGTTTAAGTAGCTTAAAGAAAAACTTTTTATCAGTCCAACAAAACGTTAGCCCAAACTGCTCCTTACATATACTCTGCATTGGTTACGCAGTAGCAAATCCGCAAGTCCCTGCTTAGGGGAAAGGTAGGAAGTTCCAAAGGATAAATGCTGCCCTCTGCAAATACCAACAGCAGCAGGATAACAGGTTGGAACCACCAGCCAAAACGGTGGGTCTTCATGCCTAATGCTACTTGCAGACTGGGGACAGTTTCTTACCCATGTTGAGTGCCTTCTGGTCAGATCTTCTCAGCTGCTTATGACTTGGAATAAGCAGTGTTTGCAGTGTAACAGCAGAAGATTCCACAGAGCAAAGGCTGGTATTGAGGGATCATATATAGTTCAGTGGGCGGGCAGGAGGGTTTGGAAGAGGTAGCTGCTAAGGGGAGGTCTAACGGTGGAAAGCATGTGGGAGGTTCCAGAGTAGCACACCACCTCCTTCTTTCCCTGCTAATAATACACAGGGAAGCTTTGAAGGACTCTGCTGCTCCCTTCCCCAAACGCTGGGTAATGCAGCTGGTTCTGGTGGAGCTCCCACCTGCTTCTACTCATCTACTAGGGACGTGTGTATGTTTGCTGAAACAACAAAGAGTCTGGTGGCACCTTAAAGACTAACAGATTTATTTGGGCATAAGCTTTCGTGGGTAAAAACCTCACTTCTTCAGATGCATAGCTGTATGTTTGCTGCACACCAATAGCTTTCTTACACAGAGAAAAAACAGGCTTTTAACAGTGAAAGGGAGAGGAAATAATTCTGTTCATAAAACTCTTGCTTCTGGGCAATATTTCAAGTTCTCCAGCAGGCAGTGAATGCATGACCTAGTTACAGCTCCCAATTGTCTCTTGTTTGGCAGGCCGGTGTTTTTTTTCATTGACATGTTTTTTCAACCCTCTAAGCAAGACGCTGCAAAAGCTCTTCCTGCTAGTTGCAGTTAGATCCATTTCTCCCATGAAAACTTCAGAGCTTAATTTTTTTTTTTTGAGGGGAGCCCTCTTCCACAATAGACCCCCCCGCACACACAACCCAATAGCTGATTTGAAGGGAGGGATTATTCTACTCCCAGGAAAGATCGTCTTCCACTTTGGATAATGCCTGATCAGGAACGAATATAATATTTCCCCCCTGGCTTTCTAAAGAGCAATAATTTTTTGTTCTAGAATGCAGTCATTTTGCCCTCCCATTTCCAAAAATGTTCCCGGGGAGGATGTAGCAGTGTAGAGCCGCACACCTATCCCTTCTCCCACCCCCCACAATCCACAAATTACTCAACTGAAACCCTAACCGCTTCTCAAAACCCACCATTGAGAACCCCCTCGACAATACTAGAGCCAAGGGACTGGTAGGTAGAATCAAATGAACAAACTGCAGCTAACTATTTATTTGGTGAGTTTAGCCCTTTTTCCTGTATGCAAATTGTACATGAGCAGTTTGCATTTTTTAACTAATTTGTTTGCCATTCCAAACCACTTGCCAAATGTTTTGTGCAAATAAATTCCAGCTTAATGGTTGCTCGAAAATTATTTGCTGTGAATTCCTCCAAGTACTGGATAGTTACAATTCAATATTCCAGCTGTGTGATGGGCCGTTCAAGTCACATGGCATTGTTTCTCTTTCCTGTTTGGATACTCTGGCCTCTATCAATTGCTTGTTTTGTGATTAAGTTAATGTTGACCACAAGCCTGAAATTTGTCTTCTGCAAATGCTTGAATGAACAAAGCTTCACTTAAATGACAGTTTGAGAATAGTGCATAAAAAAGGACGCAAGAAAATTTAGCAATGCTCTATTGAGAATTCATTTAATATTTGACAGTATGGGTTGTATTCCCAGCTCAGCCACTGACCTGCTGGGTGTTGTTTGGCTAGTCTTTTGGACAGAAGATGTAAATGTTTAACAGTGAGTAATTACTCATTGGAACAATTTGCTGGGAGTTGTGGTGGAGTCTCCATCCCTGACCATTTTTATATCAAGATTGGAAGTCTATCTTAAAGACCTGCTCTAGGAATTAGTTTGGGGAAGTTCCTGGTCTGTGTTATATAGGAGGTCAGACTAGATGATCACAACGGTCCCTTCTGGCATTGGAATCTGTGAATCTATGTCTTTGTGCCTCTGTTTCTTCATCTCTAATAATGGGGATAATGCCATGTTAGCTACAGATGAAAAGCATTATAAGAGATAGGTGTTATTATTTTTCTCACTCTTCACCCTGCTCTCCAGGCACATTCACCCTCTGGCTCTGAACAAAGCCACTCCTTTAATCAGACAAAAAGAATCATTCAAGAGAAACATGAGGCTACAACTCCTACCTGTCCTTGGGTTGGTGTTTCTGCTAATAGTTACTTTTGCACCTCATCAAATTCTACACCGTTTAATGTCTGGGGGCTGTTGTGATAATTGGGCTGACAAATGTACTTTAATTGTGAGCTCAGTTGTAAAAAGTAGATGATACAATAACCTACAACAAGAAAAGTTGATGGGAAAAGGAACAAAAGGGAGACAGAAAAACTGAATTAGTCTGAACAAAAAGGCCATGATGATATGATTCAAGGACTGATTTGAAATCCTGGTTGGTAAAAACGAAATATGTGGAACCGGAAATCAACAAACCAAAATGGCATGTTGAATATTAGGTATAATTGGTAGACAAAATAATGAGGGGATGGGCTATTCCACCCACCATTCCCTTTGGGGGTCCTTAAAAAAAGAATTTGTGGGGAGAAGAATAGAAAAAAAAATCAGAGGGAAGAACAGATGGAGGCTACTGGAGTGAGCTTCACATCATGGTTGCCACCCCCACCATCTTCTAGGACTCCAGACCCTTTTTGTCCTAATCCTTAGACATGTTCTGACCAACTCGGGCCAGAGAGGGACCCTGGTGACGTCGCAACCCCGACCAGCTCCACCTGAATCCCAACACTGCCTGAGATGAATCCGGTTTGAACTTTAGCAACTGTTCCAGCCCATTTCAACTAACATCTTCTCTTTTCCCCAGAAGACCAGTTTTTACCATCTTTAACAACATCTACAAGACTGTCAAAGAAGAGGTTTTTCTTTCTAAATCTCTCTGCAGGGAAAGGGAACAAGGGATGTTGTTAAAATGAAAGCCTTACTTAATACTTTACATTTCAAATGCGTTTCCTTCTGTTCTGTATCTTTAATAAAAGGTTCAAAGGGCTTTTAATAGTGTGTTTGCCATGGTATTAAGCAGGCTGAGGTCTCTATATACCAAACCCAGACCTTGTTTAACATTGTGGTTATGTTAATATCTTTGGCCCATTTATTTCATCCAAATTAATACAACAGGATCCCCACTGCCTACCCCACACCCTGTTCCCTCCTTAACTTTTTGTTTTTAACATATAATTTTAGCTAAAAATAGTTGCCTACTTCAGTGTTTTTCAAGCTACCATTTAAAAGAGTAACTATATCACCCCAGTCCACCTTACTATTATTTTTAGAGTACCCAAAGGCATGCTTACTGTGTTAAAGAACCACCTGAACATATACTGAAGAGCTGCCTCAAAGAGTTTGCATTTTAAGGCTCTGATCTTGCAATCAGATCTCCCTAGGAAGACCCATATGTTCCTGCAGCATCCCATTGAAGTCAATGGGGCGCCAAACAGCTCCGAGGGTCCGTTCATGTGACTCCAATTGCGGGGTCTAGGGCCTACATTTTAGATACCGAGTGGGATTTTCACAAGTGCTCTACATTAGCCTATCTCTGTTCCCACTGGAATCATGGGGAGTTTTACCCACTGAAGGCATGGAGAGCAGAATTAGACTACTGCTGGCTTGTGAAAATCCCACTCAATGAGCGAGAGTGCCAAACAGCAGGGAGTGTCTGACCAGAGGAAGGATATGAGTTACAGCAATATGATCAAGTTGTTATTCAGGTTAGCCATGTGTGCTTCATGTTGGCTCAGTTAATTAAAAAAATAACAAATATAACAATATAAAATAATAAATATTGTTGACTTATGTCTAATGGGTGTCGTGAAAGAAGTGAGACTTAGGGCAGGTCTACACTTACTTCCTGGTCCGGCCGTAAGCAATCGATCTTCTGGGATCGATTTATCGCGTCTTGTCTAGACGCGATAGATCGATCCCGGAAGTGCTTGCCGTCGACGCCGGTACCCCAGCTCGGCGAGAGGAGTACCCGGCATCGACGGGGGAGCCTGCCTGCCGCGTCTGGACCCGCGGTAAGTTCAAACTAAGGTACTTCGAATTCAGCTATGTTATTAACTTAGCTGAATTTGCGTACTTTAGTTCGAAGTGGGGGGTTAGTGTGGACCAGGCCTTAGTACTCACCTTGGAAGGTGTCTATCATGAGCACAGAATTGTAGTCAGGCCTTGATTAAATTGCACACATATGCACCTTGGAGAAGAACCGGGCTCAGCCTTGAGCTGGGGAGCCAGGAGAATGGAGCTGGGAGCCCCAATGCACTGGGTGCAAGATGGTGAAGTCAGGTGCAGCACATTCACCCAGTCCTTGAGGTCAAAACTATAACACTCAGAGCAGGACAGAAACTCTGTTTAAGAAAAAAAAAAACCATGAGTAACGTACAACTTCATTTGGTCCTACCTCTCCGTCGGTCTAAGGTTTCTGTATAGCACTTATTACCATGACATCTAAGTGTTGATGACCAACGTCTATTCCCTTAGACCCATTTATACCTCGCTTTGGGCTGATCTACACACAGTTTTTGTACTGTTATAATTATGTTGGTTTAGAAACCAATATAGCTAAAGCAATACAACTAGGTGATTATAAGCTATACTGTTATAAAGTACCTTTATAACATACCTACATGCACAGAAGGGGTTTGTATTAGAATAACTATATCAGTTTCTAAATTAGTATATTTCTAGCAATACAAAAATTGTATGCCCTTTTAATTTAGCCCACAGATTTTTAATTGATATCTGAGCCGCAGCTGATGTCTGATGAGAACCCTGAATTTGTTATAGAAAATCAGACATTTGGCCCATCTGTTCTGGTGTCCCACATCCCCAGTAATCGCAGGAAGGCAAATTCTTCTCCTCCATGGCCAGTTGTGCAATTCTGTATGTGATGAATGATTGAGTTTTTCTTCATACCTGAAGCAATCATCTTATGCCCTGAAGCATGAGATTTAACAATACCTGCCGCCCTCCCCACTTTTGCAATAATAGATGACAGCCTGATTGCACTGTACAGAAGGTGAAATGAAGGTATGTATTAAGCAAATAACTTCAGATGCCATTATTTTTATTTATAGCTCTTTGTGAGAGTCTATACAGTCCATTCTCAAACAGCACAAGATGATTTGCACGTCCTCATGTTCTGAGCTATAATTCTTCAAATGCTGACAGCATGTACATTGAGTTGCCCCAGGTTCTTT